ACACACACACACACACACACACACCAAAAATTGGCCATTTCCTGTGTTAAGGGTTAATGCATCAGACTGAGTAGCTAGTACCTTACTACATAAAACTGAAAAAGACACACACACAACACACCCAGGTGTTCCTTTCTTAGTAAACGGACAAGGACAGACTTGAATAGATGTCTTACTTCAGCCAGAGACATAGAATAATGCTATTATGTGTTGGATTCTTTCTTTTATTCTTTTCCTCTCCCTGTCCTCGTTTCCACATAATGGCAGGAGAGATGGAGCAGTTTATCATACACACAATTTTGGCAATATCTATTCATCCTTACAACCACAGAATGGAAGGACAGGTCATTACAATTTCGATTTGGGGCCGTCTGGAAGTGCTGCTGTATAAGTAGAGAGAATAAAAGGCTGCTCTGAAAGAAGAAGTAGTCTGACAGGCTATTTAGTTGTTTTGATTTCTAAATGATGATCGTCTTATGAAATGAACTCAAAACGTAATTATGGTATGATCTGCAAAGTAGGCTAAATTATGTTAGCCTTAAAACTGACTGAATAACAGGAGAGAGACAGAGTTGAAGAAGAAGGTGAAGAGCGATGAGGTGGAGGAGGGAAAAAAAGGAGAAGGTGCAGAAGAAGAGGAAAAAGAAGCAGGAGAGGAAGAGAAGAAAGAAGAAGACAAAGACAGAGAGTTAGAGGAAAAAGAAAATTAAGCAGAAAAGGAAAAAGAAGAGGAAGAAGAAAAAAAGGAGAAGAAGAAATTAGAGAATGAGAAGAAGGGGAGAAGAGGAAAACAGACATACAAGTTAGAAATGGTCTAATATAACCAGTGTAAATAGAAATGAGTAATTTGAGTGAAAGGTTGTTGTAATGATAAAAGGTGCTGTCGTTATCCTCACATCTGTTTGTCACAACACATTTCTTACAGTTGACATCTTCACAACCACCAGTGGAACCGCAAATGACAATAATCAATAGTAGGATCAGATCAAAAAAATCACGAGTTTTTCCTGCTGAAGTGCCGATTGTGTTTCTCCGAGGTGAAATGGGAGTTTGCCTCACAGAGCTTACGAAGACAAAAGCCAGGAGTTATATAACAACCTTTAATTCCACTGACCTTTCAGACAACATCAACAGCTATATCACCTAGGCCTAAATGTTCTGCGTAGCTCAGCCTTTCATTACACATGATATGGTTTAAGCCTGAAGACAGATCGCTTGAGGCGATTGGAGATTTATTGAATAAGTGTGAGACTGACTAAAGCTCATGAAGTCTACAGGAATAATGTTATTATTCAAAATATTTCAAGGTAATTTTCATTCATACAGTTTTCAATGGAGTATCTTCACTAACTTAAATAGCACAGTGAAGCTTTAAGAATATAAAACTGAAAAAAGAGGATTATTTGACCAAATGGGGAGTTTTTGTTTTTTTGTTTTTTTTTAATATTAACCAAAATGTTACTGACAGAGAAATTGTTACCCTGTAAAGAACTTGCAACAGTTCTTTACAAAATGGGTATTTGAAAACCAAGAGCTATAACGAGAAATACTTTCAGTAGGCATGTAAGCAGTGCTGCGTTTTTTTTTCTCCCCAATATCAACATTGTCTTCTCTTAATCCATGTTTTCATTTTATCTATTTTTCTATTCTTTAATTTTCCATCTCTTTCTAGGCCAATTAAAACACAGTAACTACATGATGCATCAGTCATAAGTTGTTTTTTTAGACATAAACTCTGGGAAATGTCGTTTTGCCTTTCACATATGAAGAATGCAGCAGGAGACGTGTTCACAACCACAGGAAGGAGTGGTGTCTGGGTTGGGCATGCAGGAGGCATGATGTAAAAATTCCACTCTGGAAAGAACGTGTTTTTGTTTACACAAACACTGGCGTCTTCCTTTATCACCAAAAGTTCATTGTGTTTCCAAGAAACACTGCAGGTCTGTAAAAAGGGCTACAGACAAAGATCAGAAATGGAGGACGGCTCAAAATGAAATCAAACTATATTTTGAAAAAGCTGGAATTCTGTTACGTTTAATAGTGGTTACGTTTGAGTGGGGCGGCTGAGAGGGCAAAATGAGGCTAGAGGTGGAAATTCAAACCTGTGGCGCAACAAGCACATGCACCTCAGCCTGTGATGAGATAAACCGTGTTCCTATGAACAGATACTGTTCCACATTTCCTACTGCTGAAAGGAAACGTATCTCACTGCCTCTTCATCGCTGAATCAATGTGATGAATTACCTCTTCTGCAAAATTATGAGCTGAATCTAAATTAGCTGGACTGAAGTCATGAGGATTTCAGACAGTGCATGAACACTGCAGGTTTAATGTCTTCAACTACATGCTCACCCTAGTTCTCCAATATATTTGAAGTGGTTTCATTTGAGCCTCACTGGCAGCCTGGTACTTGAGACAGCACTGTAATGTGGGTAATTTATCTTTCATCCAACACTTTGGTTCAGACTTAACTTCTTGATGAATTGCAATGAAATCAGGATAATAAATAGAGCGGAACAGCGACCAGCCTCTTTTAGAATGGCTCTGGTTCAAGAAGTAAAAGTCCCATTTATTTTTTCCGTTGACATTTCAGACAATCCTTATAAAAAGTCTTTAAAAAAGCCTGGAACCAGACCGACCAGCTACAAGATGAATTGTGACCATAAACATTTGATTTGAGGTGAAATATTTGAAAGTGTAAAAAAGGCAAAAACTGTGTATGAAGGAACTACACATCCAATAAACTGTGACCCTGCGACCCTTTTCTAATGACTTCCAGGACACATCTTCTTCAGTTTAACTTGATTGTTAATATACTGTTGCAATGTGTTGTAGTTTGTGTCTTACATGTAAGTATATAGCTTTTCATTTTGTGTATAGTGCCGATTGTAGCCGCATGAATTTTGTGGTTATGGTTAACATTTCCATGGTGAGAGGAGAAAAAAAAAACAAAGTGCATGGTGGTCCGAAAAAATTCAACTAACACAAAGTAACCCTCATCCCTCTCTCGCTAGTTAATTGACAGGTGGTGCCCAATGCGGGAACGTGCTTACAGCGCTCTGCTCAGGGCCAGATTATAAGATTATACACAACCAGATTAGTGAGGTCGCTGTTTTTTCTAATTGGAGTGAAATTACAAAATGTGCAAACCCAAAACTGTGCACTGCTACAACTACAATTTCTTTCTGTACTTGTATTAACTTGTTGCTGACACTTGTCCTGGGAAGATTTTGTACCTCCTCTTGCTTGTAAATCGTTGGCCTTCATCTACCAGTACTGTCAGGAAAATGTGTTTACTTACTTTATTCACTTTAAATAAGGGGTAATTTCTAAATTATTATTTCTTACCAGTGAATAATCACTTTAAATACCTTAGACATAATCACTATATATACTTCATTATTTAAGATAATGCAAAATTGTTCTTGAGGGGGATAAAACAAAAAAAAAACATCCAGCACCTTGGGCTGCAGAGAGAGACTGGGTGTCTCCTTCACAGAAGCCTGAAGAAGTGTGTCTTAGTGTTACAGCTAACCTGGTTTTCTCATCAGAAATAGGATCAAATAATAATAAGTGATGATTACGACAGAGAAAGTGAAGAAAAAGGTGAAAAAACGACCGCATGGTTCCCACCTACTCAATCTTTAAATACAGCAAACAATGAGCAGATGAGTGATGGCAAAAATAGAACACAGCACTTCAGGTCAGATGTGGCAGGAAAAATGCTGAATTAATACAAAGCAGAACCAGTTACTGCTTTAATGGAAAAAACAGGCAAAGAGTCAGTGTCAATTTAGTGAAAATCGAGGTGATGAGTATCAGGCCTGGCAGAATGGAAGAAGGAGAAAGAGGGGGAAAAAAACACTCAAGGAAACAATACCATGAAAAATACTACATGGATATATCATTTTTTATTTGTTAACACTTATAATGGTAATGTAAAAATAATGATAATAGACTGGTTTTGTAAAAGTGGAGCGCAGTAAGGTGAGGTATGATGTGGGCTGGGAATAAATGAAGGAGAGGAGAGGAGAGGAGAGGAGAGGAGAGAAGAGGAAAGGAAAGGAGAGGAAAGGAAAGGAGAGGAAAGGAGAGGAAAGGAGAGGAAAGGAGAGGACAGATGACAACACGGTCGACTTGAGCATGCTCAGCAGGGGCCAGCATCTGATTGGTTGAGGGGCATGGAGCTAAGTGACGTGGTGAATCAGTGAAAAAGCTTGTAGGCAGCTATTAATAACTGAAAGTACACTAAGCTGAACTCTCCCTCCTGTATGTCAACAATAGATAGAACTTGGTGCATGAGTGAACTTGTGCATGTGTCTGTGGTGGGCGGGTAAGCTTGCCTTGCCGTCAGGATACGGGTACAGGCAGACAAGCAGCTTGCTTTGCTCAAATGAAGGGTCTCAGTTTGAATCTCAAATCTTATCACGTTAAATCATGTGATAAAACATTTGCTGCTGCAAGGTTGCTGCAGTGAATGAAAATGGAATCGCTGTCTGTCTGTCTGTGTGGATTTATAGGGAATAAACATGAGGACTAAGACAACCCCAGCGGTGATAGGTAGATAGATAGAGCCATGCAGGGGGCCATTAGGTCCACCTCCCTGTAGAGTATTGCCTAGTTTGTGTTTGCATGTGTGCATACATAGGAGACTCCCACACACACACACACACACACACAGACACATACATACATACACAAACACAAACAGGATTATGTAACAGCCTCGTATACGTGCATGTTGAAGGGTGCAACATGGTGGTTGGCTGTTGCAGTGACACAGATCAGACCAGTCTGTCCCCTAGAGGACAAGTTCAGGTTGTTTCAGTATTGTCTGTCTGGAAAATGTTTATTTATCTTCATCCACATTAGGATACTATTTATGAAAGATGATTTTTTTTTTTTAAAGCTTTTCCAAAGCAAAGAAAAGAAGAAATGTTTTGAAAAGAAAGAAAGAAATTTTGTATTTTACAGTATTTTGCTGTTGGTGTCCATGCATACAGTCTATGGTACATGCACATGCACCCCCGACTCATTCCTCACCAAAGAGCCCAGATACAGAAATATAAAATGTTGATTTTATTTGTAAAGGGTCAAATCATAATACACATTCGCTCAAGGCACTTTACATAGAAGGTTGGGTAATTTATCAACTTATGATCAACACACTCCTGGGGAAAAGTAAGGGTGTTTTAATGGTCAAACATTAGTTGATATCATCTTTAAATGTAAATGTAAATAAGAATAAATTGGCAACACTGTGAGTGTACTCAACTCACTAATTGTAATGGTGAGAAAAGGGTAAAAACAAGAGGAAGTAAAACGTTATGAAATCATTCAAATATTCGGTAAGATCAGCTGTTGACGAGAGAGATATGAAAGAGGATAAGGAGTTTACCACATGGATCTCCTCAGGGAGATTGTTCCCAATACGATTTATGAATTAATCATAGGAGAAACAACTAATCGTGAAAACAGAATTATAATTGCTGTGGCACAATACAAAGGGGTCGGAAACAAACAATAAGGTATTCATTACTACTGGGCTCTTGTTATTGCTGCCATTTTGGCTCAGCCTGCTGAATGTCTGCCTCTGTACCAGGGTTATTATAGTTAACGAAAACTAAGACTAAAACTAGCAATGAAAAAATAATTTAGTTAACTGAAATAAAAATAAAAATGACAATTACAAAAAAAACGAAAACTAAATAAAAACTACAATGAACAATGCAAAACTAACTAAAACTAAACTGAATTGCAGATAAATTCAGCTTCGTTTTCGTTGTCGTTTCATTTTCTCCCTCGATTACTGCCTGTCCTGCAGGTGATGGTTAAAGAATGAAATTAAAGGACTTGATTAACCATATTTGGTGTCACACATTGTTTCATCCTTTTTCAGCTTCTACAAGTCAAGGCTTTCTCTTAATACCTTTATTAAGAGAATATTGTTGGAGGTAGTGGGGGTATAGGTGGAAGTGGTGGGGGTATAGGTGGAGGTGGTGGGGGTATTGATGGAGATGGTGGGGGTATAGGTGGAGGTGGTGAAGGTGATGGGGGTACTGATGGAGGTTGTGGTGGTGGGGGTATTGATGGAGGTGGGGGTACTGATGGAGGTAGTGGGGGTATAGGTGGAAGTGGTGAAGGTGATGGAGGTGGTGGGGGTATTGATGGAGGTGGAAGTATGGAGGAGGTGGGGGTACTGATGGAGGAGCAGGGGAGGAGCGGGGGAGGAGGGAGGGAGGCCGCAGCGTCACGTGCTCCGCCCTCCCCTCCTATAAAGATCGCAGGCACCTCCGGCTGCAGCCGCCCGAGCGACGAGCTGCCCCGCGCAGGCGAGGGGAGTCGACCTCTTGTTGTTCGGTTAGTTTTCAAACGCCTCTAAAGTCCCGCGGCAGGAGGAGCATGGCTCGCTCGGGCTGAACACAACGCGGCGAAGGCGAACATGGCTGAACAGGTCGGGGACAGCGTCGCTCAGCCCGCTTGCTTGACCAGAACGTAACGGTTGCGCGACCGACGTCCGCAAAAACAAGAGCGTGAATCCAGCTCACGCGCTGGGTAGTTTTTTTTTTAGCCAAGTGTTTTGAAGTTTGAGGCTCAGTTCGTGTTCGTCTCACGGGTGAGAATGGACCGAGGTGGCTGCCAGATGAGCGGCGGCGGTGGAGGCGGCGGCGGCGGCAGTGTGGCTGACGGGCCTGACCGAGGCGGGATGATCTCCCTGGAGGACCTGGAGTCTTTCTCCGAGGACCAGCTGTCAGACTCGCACAGCCTGGAGGACGACGCGGAGGTCATGGAGGAGGACGAGAATTCGGACCGGCTGCTGCAATACTGGCAGGACATAGCCAGGGGACACCAAGTGGACGTTTCTCAAGGTAAAGAAACAAAACAACAACAACAAGCTAAACACGGACGAAGTGGTTAGCCTGCTAACTTAGCTAACAGGAGGTGTCACATGTAATCCCAGCTTTCTTCTTTGAGATATTATCACACCGACACTGAATAAAGTGACTGTAAAAAACAAACACCGAGCTTCTGACTGGGCTTTGTGCTGCTTTAGCTCCTCAAAGCACACCACCGTACACACTGACCTAGATTCCAGCGAGGGACACGGCGAGACTGTCTCCAGTCAGGTCAACACATCCGGGGAGTAACAGGCTTCCGCGTATTTCTACTTTACAACTGCGAGCTTATTCATGTACTGAACACGAGGCGACAACTTCCGAGCACACAGACAGAAAATGACCTGAAGCATCTACACAGGCTGTAATTTAAAGAGTCGCACAATAACCACAAGGTACACAAGCTGTAAATACATTATTACAAAGGTGTGCACAGTCAGGTTAGTCTGCAGAGCTGTGCTGTACTCTCTCAGGTAGTGGTTCCATATTTTTACAACAACAAAGATGTTAGTTTCTTTGGCTCACTTTTAGAAATAGGGGTTTTATTGTCAGTTGCATGTACTTTTTGGAACCTCAAGTGGAATAGGTCTCTGTCCTGGAAAACACTGTTGCACAGAAAGTATGAGATCACAAGTGCATTGTGGGACATGCGTTGAGTTTGCATGTGAGCTAGAATTTCACTCGTGAGATACAATTCTCAAATAGAACAGCACAGTATCAGAGACATTATGATATTACAGTAGTACTATTACTGTAGGAGTATAGGAAATCTCTCCCCCCAGCCATAACTGCCCTTCATGTTTTAATTCATGTTTTTTTAAACATATTGAGATACAATATCTCTTCGAGCAGCATTGAAAGAAAAAAGAGCTTAAAATATAAATACATGCAGGGGATAATTACAACCAAAAACTACTGAAACACAGGGAGCAAATTAGAAACAACACATACATAGAAGCATATTTAAATTGTTTGCTTAAACAAATTACACAAAATAGAAAGCATTCAAGCAATGACATGGTCTCTGAAAAGATTTATAAACATGCCAAGAGACGGCTGAAGATTCAGACTGCAAGTATAGAATCAACAATCAAATTTGATTTAACAAACCAAGTTTCGAGTTCTATTTCTAGTATGTATATTCAAGGTTTCACAACATGAACCTCTTTTTCTGATCAATCCAGAGTGCCCTGACGTGATGCCCTCAGCTTATCCCACCAGATCACTTGAACACATGTGCGATGAACACTTTTTGAGCTTAATACAGGACAATAACACCATCATTGGCGTTAGCACAGATCTACAATGTGTAAGGTAACATTGACTGAAAGATTGAAACTCACCCTCCCATGATGGCGGGCTCTGTTTGACTACCTTTGGGATAACGTTGGTTTGTTTCCTTCAGTCTAGGGCTGCAGCTTCAGGGGCTGAATGAGGTTCAGCTGGATGAGGTTTTAGGGCTGGTTTTAGGGCTGGATGAGGTTTTTGTTATTTTTAATTAACTGGATTTGTAACTTCAAAAGGTTAAATTGTTGCTCTGGGAGCTGTTCGCAGATCTGATTACTACATTATCTAAAATATTTTTAAAAAACTAGAAAGGTGGATCAGTCTGTGCTTGATCTACTCATTCATGTGGATGACACAGGGATCACTAAGGAATGCAAAGATATTTAGCGTGATGTATGCTCCATACACACCTATGTCACTGTGAAGACGGTGGTGTGTGTGTCAGAGTGCATGTGTGTTCTATTAATTGCAGGCTGACTGGAATGTGGTAAGGGCTTCACAACTGCTTTTGAAACTCTGAACGGAAAAGAAAAGATGGCCACTAGTCTGGTCCAGCGTCTGATTTCAGCATGCTGTTGAGCCTCAGGCGTCACTGTCTCTCTATTTCCACTTCAGACAACAGTTTTATTTGAAGTGTTTTTTAAAGCAATAAACAGTAAATCTTTATCCTGAAACTACAAAAACAAGAGCAGAGCTGATTCGCTCACTGATATTTTAAAGTCTGGAACCATTCCAGCATTTTCTCTGCAAACTTTTTGACAAAAATACTTCCAAAGTATCTGAACTCAAATGTAGATTTTCTTTCACTCAAAGATCGATTTTGTTTGACGGTTAACTTCAGTAGTATGACTTCACCACACTAATCCGGACGTTGTGCACAGCTGGAGTCTGCATCAGCAGTTGTTTTGACTCTGGAACCTTCCTTATCTAATTAGTGACTGCTTATCACAGATCTCAGGCACACAGACCTGGACAATGGACCCATTGAGATAAGCTAAGCCTCCACAGTTTAATTTGCTATCCACATCAATAAAATACAGTTTTTAAAACACATGTAGATATTAGATTAGTCACATATTACAAAGAAAATCAATATCAAAGCCTAATTTATCAGTTCAACATAAATGTTAATTGTAATAGCCATGGTTCTCCATCCTTTTTTGGCTCACCTTAACATGAAGCACGATCCAAATGTAACCTCGGTCACTAGTTTACATGTCAAAGAATAACTGTTGCTTCAATAATTCCTGAAATTGTTTGGTTTTAATACTTTTTAGATGTTTGAAATAAAAAATATTTTTTAAATGTGAAGACATCTGTTTGTTATTCTCTCCTATCAAATATAGGCGGGGTAATCTATCTGGTATTGGAAGTCCAGCTCTGCCCAATGGGATCTCACTAACACACACTGACACACCCCCCGCCCTCAGACCACAGCACTAATTAATATCTTAGTATAAAATCACTTGCTGGGGCTTTGTCACTCAGTGGGGGGGATTAGCTACCTCGCCTGAACTGGCACTGAGGTTGCTGCCGTTAAGTCCTGTGCCACAATACTGTAACTCTGGACGGGGACCTGGGCTACAGTAAACTCCCTAATTGGGATGCAGTCAGGTGGAGCTGCAAGCTGCTGATGCATGGTGCTGTGTGAGCTGCATTAACAACTTCTTTTTACAGTCATATACTTTATAACACCACCTTTGTTCATTTGGTATCCACGGCAACAAGTATCGTCATGACAGCAAATCAAAGGACACTTAAAAGCCACCGCTACTATATTTGACTCTTGAGGTGCAAACTATTGGTACTGTATGAAAAGTCCTCAGCAGATTACGATTTCCATGCCCTCTCATTTAAGCTGTTTATTGGAAACAAAGACGATATTATTTGCTGGGGATATCCACAATGGTTCTTTGTAAAGTAAAAGGAGGTCAAAGGAGCAGATATCAACTGATGTGGGGGCATAAAGGCCTCGTAGCTTGAAAACGAGATGGAATTCACCGCTCCAAAAATTCAGGCCAAGAGTGCTCACAAATGTTTTATTTTAATTTCACATCAGTGAACACCAAATGTACACTTGATGCACCAAACTGACCTTGGCTAACTAATACGTGCCTCAGTACACCATAGAAACGACAGACAAATTAAAGAGCTGTATCCTCATGTCAAATGACAAACACAACTCGGCTGCATGCTGATCCTGATCCATTTTGTCCTTGTGTTTGAGACATTAATTCAAAAGATGTCACTGCATGGAGCTCGTCTACACAGCAATGTATTTAAAGTTGGTACGTGGGGGTGTATGTGTTAATTGACAGCTCTTAAATAATTTCCTACTTCCACACACTTTTCTAACTGTTGTGCATAACACTGCATGACATGACACAATTTCACACATAAAAAAAAAGCCACAAATTAAATACACACTCATCACGTATTGTGGAGAGTTCACCAATGCGTCGTTTTTAGAAATATAATTTTATCGATATAAAACAGATCAGTGGAACAGGATCCAGACTGTAAGGTTACGTGGCTTCAGGCCTGTATTGATTTGAAAGCCCAGGTACAAAAACAAGTGCATGTGTCAACTTGGGCGTGCTGACCGTTCTGAGCACTAAGCTGCTCTCGGGGTGCTGCTTGCTCATGCATGTGCAGTAAGTGCCTGCGACTTTGTCAATCTCAGTGAAGGTAAACGCACGCTAACAAGAACCTAATGTTTTACTGTACAAGCTTATTTAACCACCCTGAGAAACTCCCTCAATCAATAGTTTGCACTGCAACCTTGATTTAATGAGATGCTGCCAAGCAAATTCAGATAAACACCCTCGCACCACAACTCTCAGCTTGTGATCAAAATATTGATAACCCAAACACCACAGATTCCTCTGTGCCAGATGTCCTCCATTTTATTGAGCTCACACTGTGATTGAATTGGGTTTACCTTGAGTGCCCTGTGTTTTTCAGTTCAACAACAGGACAGATTGCTGGTGTTTCATGTTATTTAATCGAAAACTCCTCTAAATGCCTTGTGGTTGGAGAATGAGCTACATTGCAGAAAAAATTAAATACAGCACAGCTATGACTGGCTGCTGCTGTGGTACCACTCTGTTAATGCCAGTCTATATCTGGCCTTGGGCAGCTTTTTTCAGTGTTCACTCCATCAGCTTTAATAAACATTACTCTCTGCTACATCCTGGAACAGTGCTCTGCCCAACCATCTGGCAGCCTTTTCTCACACAAACTACAGACCTCACCTGCCAGCAGATTACTGGAAGTGAGGGTGTTTAGACTAGAGATGTGGGACTCCAAGTGTACTGTACATATCATGTGAGTGGGACTGAGTTGTATGGGACTAAAAGCAATGTTCTGAAAACATGTGAAAACTGTGCGAGAGGTGGGGCATAGCTTTTGCTTTAATACATGAGCATGTCTTAATATTCAAGCCCAAAAAACCCAGTTTCTTTAATTATTTCGTGGGAAATAGGTGAAAATGTAAAAAAAATTCTTGCAACGTTAAAGAAGGTGGGGAAAAAAATCCTGGTTACGTACCCACCAAAATTTAAAAGGGAATTTTCTGACCCATCAAGTGTCGTGAAAATCTGTGAAATCTGTGTGTGAGGTAACAGAGAGGCATAATTGCATTGTCGTCATGTCTGAAAACATCTGCTCTCACTCTCCCGCTGCCATTCATAACAAATGGTTTTGGCTGCCCTAGTCAAACACAAACACATCATGATGTCAGTAAACAGACAAAGACACAGAGTATTTTTTCACATCGAGAATAGAAATGCTTTTTTTTCACATCAACAATCCTTTCTTTTTGTCCCATAGCTTAAACTGACCAAGTACTGGTTGTCTCTCTGTCGACAGACATGGCAGAACCCATTCAGCAGCTGACCAGCAACAATGACGGACGCAGCACCAGAGAACACATCCCATTCACTCTGCTCGCACGGAGAGAAAAGGTATCTGACTTTTACTGCTTTACCCGTGACAGGTTAATTGTCTACTCCGCACAATTTGTACACATTGTCATGTTCTATATGGAAAGAAAAAAGATCAGACAACTATACTTGCACTCAGGGCTAGATCTGCAAATTAAGCCCTTGCATAAAAAGCCAATCTTTGAAGAGCAGGAGTTGAAAACCTTCATCTCCCTGACTAGAATACTAGAACAATCAACTGCTGGATGTAAGAAGCTCTCGGCAATGCATTATATCCAAAATGCAGTAGCCCATTAAATCAACTTTGAGCTACATGAGTCAAACAGTGTACAGAAATAATGTTATGAGATTAAATATTTTTCCCACTCGTTTTTCTGCCATTCCAGTTAAATTTGATTGAACTTGGTGTTGGTTTGTTTTACGTCGTACACATACATGAAATAGATCAGGCCTCTTGATTAGAACATTAGAACAAGGACATGACCTGCATCTGTCAGCCCAAGATCAACACAGAAGTCCTCTGTCTGTGCATGGCTCAGCTATTTATTTTTGACAAGATGGTCATGTGACTCAACACAAAGCCTTTAAAACTCCTTAGGGGACTGTATAAATAAAGAGGGCTAATTGGTTTAACTTGAGTTAATTAGTTCATTAAAAGTTGGATGGACACCCCAGTAGAAAGGACAATCATGGCACTCTATTCTTAGAGCGGGTCTCAGTGCTTTGTAAATGGAAAGGCACGTGATTGGTAAATGGTACAGAAACAGTGGGTCATACACCTGAGCTGCAGTTGTCACAATGCATGGGAAAAATAACCGAATAAAGCACATAGCAAAATACTTCTATGCTAATACTATTCATATATCATCATTTTATGTACACACCTACAGTATATAATATCAATATCACAGTGCGGACTGTTGACCAACAAAATGTTCACGTTATTCAGTAGAATATCCTCAGTACGTAAAACTTGCTACTGTCAATACTTAAAACCAGATTTTAAAAACGGGAACAATTTTACAGAAATACACGTCCTAATAACATTACACCACTTGTGTAATTCATTTTGTACAAATAGAGTTTGGTCAATCTGTGGGGAAACTCACACATATATGGCAAGTCACTTCCTGAATATGCTCAAAAGTCACAATTTGCCAACTTCCATAGTCACACTTTCACAATCTTATTATTTAGCCGAGAGAGACCACCATCATATTTTCAATTTGGTGAAAATGGCAGTAGAGGAGGGAGGATATGTAATTGGGAAATACGCTGGGCATAATTAGCATGTTGATGTGCAAAGGAACATTTGCTAAGAAGTAAAATTTTCAACATAGGTGAGAAAGCTTTGGTTGGGCAACAATCACAGGTACCTGTTGAAATTGTTATTTCCAGTGAGTGCACAACAGCCAACAGTTTATTTTTGAGAAGACAAATTAAGACTCCGTCATTAAGCCTTTTGAATATGCACTGGATGCAGGGTACTACATTTGAGTGTGCTACTACTTGAAGGATCTGTTATTTTATTTGCCAATTAGTCAGAACATCTGATGGCATTTACAAAACACATTCTCTTCTTAGAACAGAACAATTTGCAAAATGTTACAGTAAACCTGTTTCATAAAGATACTTAATTCAAATCAACCCAGTTTTCATCAAGTGTTTACGTTGTAACTGTATCATTTGTACCTTTTCAGTGCGGAAAACTGCTCTACGAGAAACGGCACTATGAAAAGGGTCAATGGGCTTGTATAACAATGCGTGAGGACACTTACGAACAGAGCATCTGTTATGGTTTTATGAGGATAATGAGATACATCTGCAAGGAGAATTCTGTAGGTAAGTCCATGACCAAGGGACTGTTCAACTCATGCAATCAGCGTCCGGCCTTTTGAATCCTAGCTTTCCTGTTTACATTTATGTACATTACAAAACCAACACTTTTTCAAGCCATCTCCAATAATTATAAATAACAGCTGCTATTTTCTTCATATAGGCAACTACCTGGGCATGACGCTCCCCATCGTGACGATAGTACGCACAAATGAGAACCACTCTGTGATCTCCCATGGCGTCACCGTGGCATACTACCTTCCTGTTGAGCATCAGGCCCAGCCCCCACAACCTACTGACAGCGAGATCATCATAGAGAACTGGCCCACCACTGTGGTGTTCACAAGGTCAGCAAAGAGTGAAATAAAAATGACCAGTCCCTCCTCATGTTAATCAGCTATGACATGTAAATGGGGTGAGAATTAAGGGTTAGCTTGTGTTCTTTGCTTCCAGGCCCTTCACTGGTCCCACCAATGAAGTGACCATCATTGAACAGATCAACGCTATGGCAGAGGTGCTAGACTCTCCCAGCGTGTGTGTCAATGACTCATTCATTGTGGCCGGCTACACCAACCCTGCTCACAGCGACCGTCAAAATGAGATCTGGTTCCTTGAGCGACGCTGAGGGACGGGCGACGTAGCAGCATCCTTGTATCTGTGACCTTGAGCCTAATAAAGACTCCTTCAACACTGCCCCAACCCAGCTACAGCCTCAGGTGCAAAATCCCCTCTGTAATCAGCCACTGCTACGTGAAACCACCACCAGCCCATCACACCCCTCAGCATTTCAGTCTTGATTAAAAAAAACAAACAACTCATACATTACTCAAACCTCAGTGAATTTTCATTCACGTTCATTTAGCTATATCCTTATCTTACCTCTAACAGCTGAACAAAACCACTGCCATTCACTCATGGACACAACCCAACCGCTTAGGTGAAGTGTAGCGTTATTCTCCCGCTCTCACACCGAGATGACCAGAACCTTTCCTGAGCACAGCGTTCTCTCGTTAAAGTCGTTTTAACAGTTTTAACTCTTAGCACTCCGGGACATAGTAACCATCGAGTCAGAAAGATGTAACAGCAGCAGGTCTTTATGCAGCCTTATTACTCCCCCCTTTCTACGATGTCTTGTCATGTGGGCTGAAGTTCAATTCAAACTGTTTCTCTGTCGTTCTCAAGCTTTCTGAATTGATTTCAACCCTGACACTATTGATCCACTACAGACATAAACTGACTACACTCTGTGATGCCAATCACACTGCATATTTTTGCTTTAACAATAAGTGCAATACTTACCAGACAACCAGCAACAACAAGCCAGTAACAACAGTTCCTGAGCCGCTGACGTGTTCAGTCGCAGGTATTGTGGGTGGGGAACAGTAGCGCAACACAACCTGACAAACAACATCCAATCCAGAACCGGTGGATTAAACCAGAGATACACTATACACACAATAAGGAGACAACAATGTAGACGACGAACACACGTGAATGTAACGTGGTCATGTGTGTTAGTGCATGAATGTATAGCTACAGGGAGAGAGGGTGAGGACAAACAGAACACTTCTAGAAACCAAACGCTGAAAAACTCACTGATCCTACTGCTGAATGACAATCATAGAGTACTTATTATATGTACATTCTTTTCTTCAGAGAAAACAATGTAACGAAACCAATGCATTCCTCATGGTTCAAGGCACATTCACACACAGGAATAAGTATGTACCTCTTTATCATGCTCTTTCTATTGCTACTCTGTGTCAATGTTAGTGAGTATGCATTCACTACTGTATCGCAAACGCCACTGCTTCTGAGTAGGAACAGCGTAACAAAGAAAATTAGAGCACAAAGAAATACCTCTACTGTGATTATACTCTTATTACATAGACAGCAATTGAATTGTGTTCTTAGTTCAAGCTGTATTTAATGTTCTATCACCAGTATAAGAAGTCAAAATGAAAGATGTATGTTTAGCTTTGCTATGTTTGAAATAAAACATACCAGTACCATGCAAAAAACCAAGCAAAGCATCAACCCAACTCCACCTACTACACGGTAATATAGGAATGTTTCTGCTTCGGAAATTAATTTACTGCTTGGGTGCAAGTAAAATAAAACTGGAAGTCAATTACATCCA